CAGGAGAGCAGCATCTACAAGACAAACGGTTTCTACCACGTTAGCATCATAGAAACCAGCCTGTCACAGGAGCGTGGTCTTTTTTTTGACACTGCTACGTACAGCAGGTTTTGGGAGGCTGCCACCCAGCCAGTACATGAGCTTATTAAGCTAATTCACTGCCAGTCAATAGTTCTGCCTGTTGAGATGCAATATACCACGTTCTGATTCACTTCCACTGTTTTTTCCATGACACGTGGCTGTGCATCAGAGGCAGGCAGTTAGGGAAGTGCTCCTCCAGCAACGCGTTCCACCCCAAGGGCTGCTCTCAGGGCAAGTAACCCAAAATGCAAGGTTTTGGGGCTGGGTAGGCAACCATGAACAATCTAGAAAACGAACCGCTGCTTCCTTGGCTTTGAACTCCTTCTCCCTCTGCAGGCGGTACTGCTCAATCTCTGCCTGGGCCTCCTCCTTTGCCTGCTTCAGCCTCCGGTTCTTTCCTGTTTCCAAACATACCAAATGAAACAAAGAAAAGAAAAGTATTGAGAGCGTATTTCCCCACACCTCTCCAGCTATCCCACGCCCAACAATCCCTGGAGCACTTCCTAATCCTAATTTCTGCAGGAGGCACCAGCAGGGCACCGCACACCCTCGCAGCCCCTCCAGCTTGGCGGTGTTAGCCGACCTCAGGAGCACGAGGTCACCCAGCATGGCACCAAACCGTGGCCAAGCTCACCACACAGTGAGCTTCCACCAGCAAGAACCGGAGAAGTTCTCTGAGCCAGTGGATGCGTGAGACAGCCTGCAGGTCTGGCCTTGCTCACATGAGCGTGCAACATCCCTGAGCAACCCCAAAGAGCGCAGCAGAAAGAACACTCAGTTTTGCCTCAGGTCAATTGTGCAACCAACAGAAAAACTGAGCGCTGTATCCACTTCCCCTCTTGGACTTTCCACCACACCCTCCGCTCCCAAGGTTATCATCGTTACAGTGAGCTACAACAATTTCCCCTCAAAAAATCATCAGGGGCCAGAACCACAACGCAGCACGGCTTCATTAAAAAACCTTGAAGCGGGAAAAACTGGTGAAGGTGGGGACGTTTGCAACCAGAATTTCTCTTGCTTAACAGGAAAAGCTAACTTGGCTCCCCAAGGAGC